TGTGTGTGTTTTATTTTTGTGTTCGTAGAGTGGTGTGCGCGTGGTGTGTGGGATGCGTCCTAGTCGACCGACGACGAATTGTGCTTGGGACCTCAGCCCCCCCAAAATGTCGGTTCACGTGCGGGTTCGATAGGCGTATTACTGCGCGTACCCCCTATGCTACAGCGAACGAGAAACGCCCTCGGCTGGTCCACCTCTGCGATTGCAACCGAGTAGCTTTCGTACTGTGGACTAGTAGCTCGGCGGGGATACGCCCACCGAACGGAGGTGACAACTCCCGTATGGTGGAGGTAAGTTGTGCCTCGCGTAGGCCCTATCCTGTCGTAGGGGCTCGCGAGAGGTATGGCTGGCGCACTCGGCCGGAGCGGCCTAAGGAAGCTCCATGTGTGTGTTCGTGTCAAGGTTGGTCCAACTCCTGCGTGACACGGCTGAGAGGGTCCCGGGCTGCCACGTGCGGTGTCGGGCCGATGCGCTCGACGGCGAGATGACACAGCGCAACTCCCACGCCAGACTCCAACGCACATACTCGTGCGAATATAGAATGAGAGAGAAAACAGACAACAGCTGGGGTATACCCCAGCGGACTGACGGGACTGGACTGGACTGGCTGGTACCGACAGAGGTACCGGCCTGGATTGGACTACCCCGAATACAACACAGGCCTGTGAGAACAGGCCAAGGGGCTGGTCTCACATGCCAACCAGAGGTTCGCTACAGCAATTCTGCAGGTTCACCTGCAAAAACCTTGGTACTGATTCTCCTTCCTACAAATGATAAGGTTCGATGGACTTCTCATAGCACCGCCAACTACAAGGCGTCGGGGTCGTTGCGTCCAAACACTTCGCCACGGCCATCAATCGAGAGGAGCAACGGACAACGGTCGAGCCAGAGCACGAGCGACGGTAGACGGGCGTCGCGGTCTGTAGGAGACAACGATAGTTGGAGCAGCGCCGTCGTGGAGGTCACATAGGAGAAAGGCGCCAACTTGGATGAAGAACGTACCTGGTCGCATTGACGGACCACGTGCAACTGTGAAAACCAACTTGGAAAGTTATCCGTGTTTGGGGCATAGCGAGAGAGGGAGGGAGGGAAGGAGAAGACTTTGGAAGCTCTGCTCTGATACCAATGTAACACACGTGCAGAGGGCATGTGCGGAGATGATGAAAGAGAAAGAGAGAGGAGATGGACACACACGAGAAACAATAGTTGAGTGAAGATCCTGTCTGACCCAACGAATGAACGAACCAACTGAATGAATGACCAACCCAGGTTGGGCCTTGGCCGGAGAGAAATACCGGCCTTCGTCCAGGCCGTAGTAACCCAATACCGGACCAGGGTCACGTCGACGGCCTGAAACAGGTCCCGCCTCACTACCAGGCCGAAAGAGTATTGCTACAATAACCCTGACGCAAGACGACTTGCCTGCAATAACCTTGAGTCTGAAGAAGTATTTTCAAAAATTATGCCTTGAAAGCAGAGATATCAGTTGTAATATTGATTATGGTTGTGGATAACCTCTGAGTCTAACCTCACACAAGAAACATTTGTAGTCTGACAATTCTCTTTTGAGCAGGTATAATCCTCTGATTCATCACATGAGCGTTTAAACAGACAAACAAATTCATCACCAATATAATAATTACGATTTTTTTTTTTCTTATTGCACATATAATCAAATTTCATCAAGATTGTCACAATCATTAATCAATCCAATTCCGCCAAACAGAATTACTTACATTGTTATCAGTCAATTGTTTTACTTTTGTTATCAGCTCTCTGTTAGGCACTACAACCAAACTCACTAATCTCCGTCAATTAATAATTTAGCTAAGAGATAAGCGATCCTTCCGAAGACCACTTTCTTTTGGCCCATCAGACGAGAAGACTAGAATCTACTAACGAAAAACAAATTTCACAACTGACTTAATGCTGGCCTCCAAACTGTAATATCATCTTTTCAAGTTGATAATAACATAGCACCACTCACTGATTCGAAGGCGAAAGATTAATAGGTATCAACATAAAACTCGCCAACTCTACCAAAAGAACGACCTCCTTGTTTTCCTTTGTCAAGGAAGTAACTACAAATTCGTTGACTGAAAGAACGAAAACTTGATACATTAGGAATAAACACATATAGAAAACATGTAACAAAATGAGGATTCGAGTCCGGCAAAACAAAGCTAAATGACGAAGAGTCGATCACCAAGCAACCAACTATGCTCTTCTCACTAAAATTTTCTTCCAATTCTTAATGATTGCTCAATTGACGTCCATGGTTATATGCCAGTCGAAGAGAAAGTGAAGGTCCTCTCCGTCGGTTTTTTCGGCTCACCATCAACTATAATACTCTTGCGGATATACTCTTATTAGAGTTTGCTCCGCACGGGAATAACCCAATCCTCTCATACCTCAATCTTTGGTGGTGCAGGCCGAACTAGAGAACATGTGACCCACACTTTTGCCCAGACTTTAGTCCCCGACTCACATGAGCGTTTAGAAGTAAACGTCCAAGCCCAATTAGCCACTTTTCTCACTAGCACTCTCTCTTGCTTTTTCATATTTTACACTCGATAAGTCAATCACGACGCACACTTAGAAAGATGAATGGTCTCATAAGAAGTCTAATTACAAGTGCTCATACACGTAGCTAGTTCCTGGTTTCGTCAAATCATTCTCTTGCACCTCGCATACTACTTTAAACCGCTGCCGTCAATCACCCAAACACTATAGTTGGTGGTGATCTCAATTCCATGCAGATGGAGAAACAAGGGAAAACAACACGGAGTGATCGATGACGACGAAGAGACTCCCTCTGCTTAGAGTCATATGAATACCTAGTGGCATCGTTTGGAATTAGTTCACACTTACCCTTCACAAGAGTTTCTCAAACTCAGACCCTGGATGACTTCCCTAAACTTCTCGCCCAACATGAGAATACTCTTCAGTAGAAGGTGATGTCAATTCAAATACTAAGTCTAGGAGAGAGCAGCGGACAGCTAACAACCTCAAAGTAGCTGATAACAGAGAGTTATTCCTCTCGCATGCTCTCAAAGCTTTCCAGACTATTGCTCATCGTCAGTACCCAGTGACATTGTGCATCTGACCTCACAACTTTCACATGTTGTGAGTCTCGGAGTTGTCTCACGTTACTAGTACCACACTCACTTTCTTGTTACTACCTCACCATATCCAAGATGGAAATTGCAATGACAGGTAACTTTGGTCACACAAGGAACCTGAAATCTTGTCGGTGGTAAATTGGTACTTATTTTATGGGTAACTTCTGAAGGTCTGGCTTTAAACACTCGTCGTTCTTTTTCGGATTTCACACTCAATTAGTCAATGTCAATGCGCACTTAGAAGGATGACGGTCCCATAAGAAGTGTAGTAACGAGCGCTCGTACAAGTAGTTGGTTCGTTGTTTCGTGAAACTTTTTTTTTGGACCTCGCATACTACTCTTCACCATCGCCGTCAATCACCTAACACCGTAGCTGGTGATTATCTCACTTCCATGCAGATGGAGAAACAAGGGAAAACAACACAGAGTGATCAATGAGGACGAAGAGACTCCCTCTGCTTAATATATATGCATACCTTGTGATGTCATCTGAAATCAGTTCACACTTACCATTCACAAGAGTTTCTTGGACCTAGACCCTGAATGACTTCTCCAAACTACCCGCCCAACATGACAATACTCTTCAGTAGAAGGCGATTGTAATTCGAATACTAAGTCCAGGAAAGGACAACACACAACTAACAACCTCAAAGCAGTTGATATCAGAGAGTTCTTCCTCTCGCATGCTCTCACAGCTTTTCATAATATTGCGCATCGTCAGTGCCCAGTGACATTGTGCGCCCGACCTCACAACTTTCACACCTTGTGAGTTTCAGAGCTTTGTCTCACATTACCAGTACCACACTTGCTTTCTTGTTACTACCTCACCCACAGGTAACTCGGGTCACGCAAGGAACATGAAATCTTGTCGGTGGTAAACTGGTACTCATTTTATGGGTGAGTTCTTAAGGTCTGACTTTGAATGTTCATCGTGTTTTTTCATATTTCACACTCAATCAGTCAATCACGACGTGCACTTAGAAGTATGAACGGACTCATAAGAAGTCTAATAACGAGCGCTGATACAAGTAGCTAGTTCTTTGTTTTGTGGAATCATTCTCGAAGAGCCTCCCTCTACTTAGAGACATATGCATACATGGTGATGTCATATGGAATCGGTTCCCAATTACCCGTCGGAAGAGTTTCTCATACTCAAACCCCGGATGACTTCTCCAAACTATTCGTCCAACATGACAATACTCTTAAGTAGAAGGCGATGGCAATTCAAATACTAAGTCCAAGAGAGGACAACAGGCAGTTAACAACCTCCAAGTAACTTATTTCAAAGAGTTTTTTCTCCTGCATGCTCTTTCCAGACTATTGCTCATCGCCAGTACCCAGTGACACTCTGTGCTCGACCTCTCAACTCTTACACGTGGTGAGTCTCAGAGCTCTATCTCACATTACCAGTACCACACTTGCTTTCTTGTTACTACCTCACCATAGCCAAGATTGAAATTGCAATGACAGGTAACTTAGGTCACACAAGGAACATGAAATCTTGTCGGTGGTAAACGGGTACTCATTTCACGGGTAACTTCTGAAGGTCAGACTTTGAACGCTCATGTATACTATCAGTCCCTTGCAACCTCGTCTCCTTTTCCGCTCACTCACTGAACCCACTCCCGCTCGCTCTCTGCAATCACTCACTGACTCTAATCCCGTTCGTCACGAGTTGATCTCACCAAAAAAGAAGGGGACGTAAACGATATACCCCGAGCTTGTTCCTTTCTCTCGTAAGTTTCTCATACACCCTCCACCCACTATGTAAGGGTGGAAATCATGAAAAGGTGCATCGTCGACCTCTAGGCGCAAGGATGCTTTTCACGAGAGGTACACATGCCTTTCAATATTGGGCCCATGTGTGTAGGTACGCACCGTTCCCTTTCTCTGATTCATGTCGCAGCATTGTCGTTATTAGTCTCTCATGCCCACCTCTCACTTTCCCATCTCGGTTCTCTAACCGCCTGCACAAGGTCAGCGCCTACGTCAACGTGAGTTGGCCTCTGGGCCGTCCTCCGCCGGCTCTGTCGGCGGGTGATCTCGTCGCCACTGCTCTAGTCGGTGTTAAGAACCAATCTCTGCGTCACTCTTCTCTCTCTCTGCTTCCAAGTCCCCATCCAGGTCCCGTTGTTCTCTCTCGTTAGTCCCTGGTAAAGTCGTTGTCTCATGGTCAGCAATAGTGACCTCCAGTCGTGTGGTAACATGGTCTCGCCAAAGTCTTGTCTCCGCCTTGTTTTTTGCCTCTGTAATCGTTGTCGGCAACTTCTGGGTTTTTTTCATCTCTTCCTCTCTACCCCTTTCGACGTTGATTTTTAATTTCGCTTCGTCACCGACGAGATTTAGGATCATCGTATCCAAGGGCCCTCTCCCGAAACCAAATCCCAGCGTACCAAGAGACTCTAGCAGTCAGGCTTATAGCCCTATAGTCCCTTTTCGCACGCCATAGGTATTCACAACACCAATCCTTAGCCTCACTTACACACACGGGTTATTGGACCACTTGGCGCAAATAACCACTACCAGAATGCCCTACCTTTCCGCATTGCGATCTTGACCAGTAGGACTAGAGCAACATAGCCTATTACAAGTCTATTGATCTTGCTAGGGCATTGGCACTGCGACTATCTTTACAGGCTCAAGAAGCAACGTAGTTCATGTGCTCCAAATGAGGGCCTAAGATAAACTAGTAGAATAATAGTTAAATTAAAAGGGCACCTTCTCACACTTTTTAATGATAAAATTAAATAAAGAAAATCCCAGGACTCAACAATCACTAAACAGACGCGCCTATCTATCGCTAGCTTCTGTCGTCCTCTCAGCTCCAGTTGAAAAGACTGTAAACATGGCGCACCGATCCCATAATGGGACACCAACTGGTACCTTACTCCCTTCAAAGGAGGTCATGGGATTGCACCTAATGGGTACCCGTGTCCGATGATAAGGAAGGGGCTTACGACCTTCCACGGGGGGAGATAAACCTCCTACCAAACCGGTCGCAGGTCACCCCTTTTCAACAACGCTAAGTGGTCACTTTCATTAAATGATACCGTTTAGTGAGAGGTCAGTTAGTCTAGGCAGTTCGTTCTTAAAATCTCAAGAAAACAAATTGTTCGTTTCATCGTGAAATGACAGAGGGAAACTAAATTTTGAAAATACAATAAGGGAAAGAAAAATACGTAACTCTACAATCGTTGTAAGCCCTTCGATTAAGCAAAGGCCACAATCTGATGGGCGATGGGGAGACGTCTCCTTCGAAATAAGTAGCTCTAACTTTTCCTTTCTTAATTTTTTTTCCCTTTTTTCTAAACTACCAGTTGTTCGATGGGGATATGTTTCCCCCAGACATCTCCGGGAGATGGTCACGTCGGTTAGTGGGGAGTTGTTCGGGACTCCGGACACGAAAAAAAAAAAATAAAAAAAATTGGGGGGGGAAGGGGGAAGGCTGCGCAGCACTAGGGGACCCCCTGAAAAAAAATTCAGACTGTTCTGAGCAAAAATGAAACACAAATTTAAAAACAGTGCGCAAGGTGTGATGGTGGGGTGTGGGGTGGGTGGATTACTTGGGGAGTTCAAATGGAGGGCTCATTGTTGCAGTCAGCAACTGCAATTGCTTCCTCTGATGCAGCATATAGATCATCCGCTCCGGCAGATGCGGTTGCTGCAATAGTAGCGGCATCCGTGCATACACACACACACATTCTATCCATACACAAACACACAGAGTGACACGCATATGAGCACACATGCACAAAGTCACACATACATACACACTATCTACTCACACACACACACTATTTACACACACACACACACATAGATGCACTGGTTACACACACAAACACACAAAGACACCCACGCACACATACACACACACACATATACACACACGCATTTACATACATACCAAATACACATATAAACACACGCAGACCAAACACAACACATAATTGCAATTCATTGACTGACATATTGAAAGAATGGTTAACCGGGTGACAAACTCACTAACAGACTGAGTAACGGACAATTGGGGGTGTTTTCAATTTTGTTTTGCTTTTTCAATTTGATAAAGAAATTCGATGTAACCCCAATGCAAAAGTTGTTCAACTTATTTTTCTGCATAATATAGTTTTTTTGGGGATTTTTTTTTTTTCCTTGGCATTCTGGCTTCGGACAGACTCCTCGGGGAGGACGTTCAACCTGTTGTCTGATCGGACAACCTTGAACGGTCAGGGGGGTCCCGGACATCCGGCCTGGTAACATAGCTTTTTTCTTTTCTTTTCTTTTCTTTCCCATTGTGACGGTTACTCTGCATGTGCCCCACAACCCAGTCAGAGAAGACTTGGCGCACGGTAGAAAAGTCCGTGTTGGACCTTTCACATTCGCGTCCCTTGGCGAGCCCGACTGCTACCACGAGAACCAAGCGGCCATGCTCTGCTGTACAGCAGGGCGCTGAGCTTGCATTGACGAATAAAAAGTCAAGTGACGCACTCCCACCTTTTGGGTATAAAAGTGCCGATTGGACCGGGCGTGCGGGAGGGTGGAATCCGAGTGTGTTAGGTGCACCGTAGAATAAAAACTATTTGCTCGCTAGGTGTGCTTGATACACTGCAGAGGTTTGTGAGCAGGGCGCCTGGTACACCGTGAAGGGTTGGTGCACGACGCCCTCTAACATGATACCGAACCCCCGCCGAGTGGCCCCGCTGACCCAAAACATGCATAACAAACAATATAAATAAGACAACAATAACACCTATTGTTGTCATAACATCCCAGTAGTTGAGCTCCTGTAGTAAATGATCGTTAGTCGAAGACTCCTGGTATTGCATCGCAAGCATTTTTTTTTTCTTTTCTTACAACACGATTGCTTTGCATTCATACTGCAGCGACCCTACCTCTCTTGGTAGCGCATTGTCTTTTACTTGGAGCGCAACAACTTTAAAATCGCATAGCGTAGCAGTTTTTGAATATCGCGACACATTTTCAACCATAGCTCAGAAACTTATTTTCTCAATGTAACAAACTCTCTCTACCGCGAGTTACTTAATTGGGTTCAGTCTTACACCATGCCTTAAGGACATAGAGGACAGGGAAGAGGAAGAGGTGGTTGGGTAGTAAGGCTTGTGAAGAGCCGCCACCTCGCACACGCCATGATTTCAGTTTTGAGGAGGAGGAAGAAGAGGTATGAGGATATGGCTCTCACACGAGACCATACCCACGCCACTTTTTAAGTGGCTGGTATGAAAGAACTTCACACCCCACAAGGATGGAGTACTATCAACAAAAGTTTGAGGCGCACTATAGTAATCCAAGTTCTCCCTCCCCTTTGAACTCTTTCAGAGCACACGCCACACCAATGACAAGCAAGGCATTAGTGCATATAGCTTCATCCTCAGTCCCATGTGCTGCCATGTCTCAGTCTCCTCTTAGCAATTGTATTTTTTTCTGCATTTTCTTTCTTTTTGCACTCCTTCAAATATAATTGATGACAATTTTTTTCATCTTGTAGAAACACGACGTTCTCCCTTGAATTTTTTGTTTCTCTTCTCTTAAACTTTGAGTCCATATCCTACTTCATATCGTCGCTGATCTGAGAGTTTCAATACCTTGAGGCTGGGGATGCAGGTTCCTCGTAAACCAGACCGCTCTTTTGACCACCAAATAAATTTAAGAAGGATTACATCTCAATTTTTCATTTGCAATTGACCTTGATTTCTTGTCATGTTTGAAACATGATTTTTCTCTTATCTTTCCTCGATGGAGAAGTTACCTCGTCACATTCTGACAAAAATGTCGAAGATATTCTAAAATTGTCCTTAATGTTGCTGACGCTCACTCTGTCAGTTGTGTTGGGGATAAGGTATACCAAACCCATTTCTCGTTCTCAGGCCTGAGTGACGTCTTTTCAACTTCTCAAGCAATCGAAGGGGATATCGAACCCTGTTTTTTTTCTCTAATTTGAGTGAGACGTCTCCTTAACTTCTCAAATAAACAAAGAGATACCAAAATTTTTTTTCTTTCTCTGTTCTGGGAACTTTGAGTGAACATGTATAAACATGCAAACCAACAAGTTTCACAAACAATCAAACAAGATCCCAGCAAGCAGGCTCCATGAAAAACAGTAGTCAAACAGTAATTAAATTAAATGAATTAAAATAAAACCTATAATAAAATAATAAATAATATAAACAGTTTCTCTTACCCAGAAATCGTCGATTGCGTTGGTTTTTACCCACTTAGCTTGGGCTGACAGACATCCCTTCAGTCTGACATCCCTCATTCAGCCCCCCTCAACCCAGGATTAATCAGATCGTTTATCTTGACAGCCCTCTACTCAAGTAGGACAGCCTGCCTGCAGGTTAGGACCACCATACCCTCTACTCAAGTATGATAACCCTTTGGCGCGCCTCACGCTAAAACACCCAGACTATAGCTAGTCTAGTCACCCTGAGACACAAGACCTCCCGTGAGTCCAACTACCCTATATCCAGATTTGACCATTGCAGTTGGGGTCCGGTTCACCCACCAGTTTTTGACCTAGGGCGCTGGCTGCTTCGCCCAGATTTCGAACATAAGACTCAGTCTAACTACGATTCGGGCTCTGACGAACCCACTGGATTGTAACCTCTCACTACGGTAGGGTTGTAGCTAACCCCTTCTGACTTCCTAGGCCAGACTCGTTGAGCCTTAACCTTAGCCAACTACGACATTCGACATTCTGGTCGGGGACCTGATGACCTCACCAGATTGCAACCTACTGCGGTAAGGCTCTGGCTAGCCCCAACAATCAATAATGGCTCAGGTTAAAGAAGAGAAAAACTCAAATACAGGCAAGCAGCAAGTATGCAAAAGTCCACAAGCAGAATGTTCATGCCCGAAGTAACTGAACAAGCATTTCTCAAGAGACGTTCCTTCAGTCTTATGAGGCACTAAACAGCAAGAACACAACTAGCAACAAGTATCTGCA